GCCAAATCAAACCCCCCCCTGCCACAACTTGAGGCCATTATTTTTTAATTAAAAGAAAAAAAAATTTCCAGGTACACAAGTGATTATGCATCCTGCCAAGGAGAAAATCATTGTATCTTCCAGAATCTGTATATGTATATGTATAAACATCCTGCATCTGCTTTTAGCAATAAATGGGGTGGATGTTCCCATCTGACCCCTAAGAGATGGGGGCTCATACCGCTCTTCACACTGTCATTCCAATTTCCATCTGCAATCGTTTTTTGTTTTTTTCTTTTCCTTGACGCTTCCATGTTGACAGCCTCAGATAGGTAACGCGTGCGGCTTTTTGTCCCCTTGTGATACTTGTAGTTGTCACCAATTGTGGAGTTGAATGTCGGCGGGGAGATGTACACGACAACGTTGAGCACCTTAAAGAAACACCCCGGCTCCAAGCTGGCAGAGATGTTCACCGGCCAGCCCAAACTCAGGACTGACTCCGAAGGGAGGTTCTTCATCGACAGGCCAGGCACCTATTTCAAATACATCTTGGAGTACCTGCGCAGTAACCAAGTGCCCACCCAGTGCATCCAGGATGTCTACAAGGAGGCGTTGTTCTACGACATCGAACCTCTAATCAAGCAACTAGAGGACTCCCCGCAGATCTTCGGGGAGCTCATGGCGAGGAAGCAGTTTCTGGCTCGTGTGCCCAACTACAGCGAGAACATCGAACTGATGATCCGCATCGCGAGGGCGGAAGCGGTCGCATCCCGCCGGTCCAGCGTCATCGTGTGCGTGGTCAGAACCGAGGAGGACGCAGCCAGATGTCAGGATGCCTTGAACAGCTTGGACATGGATAAAAAATCCGTGGTGAAGTTTGGCCCCTGGAAGGCAGCGCCAAGTATTTCTGATCTGCTGGACTGCATTCAAATGGATGTTGAAGCCAAAGGGTACAAAATATCCTTTCAGCCCCACGTTGCTGAAAAAGGTTTTCGCTTCAAATCGCATGACTTCTTCTACAAGTTCCTGTTCACCTGGTGGTAGCAAAGTGCCACCATCGATGAGGAATGGAAGAAAGCACTTATTAAAACAAATTAACTTGGGCTGCGGAGACTAAGCCACGGACTACTGGAGGGACAGGAAGAAATGCATGGGGCAACGAAAGGATCTCCTCTGGTCGTTTGCCAAATTAAAGAGCACTTAAGAGCTACTGTTTTGTTGGGCTTTAGGGGATAACGCTACGATTTAAAAGGTATCAGGAAAAGGAGGAATTTTACTCTTTCAGTGTTGCTATTAGATAAGTTCAGAGAGCCAGATCTGAGGGTCGAGCCAACCTCACCCTGCCTAAGAGAGATGAATAATCCCAAGTAGGTCTCGTGGACATGTGGAGCTGGTCTCTCAGAGAAACGGGAATGGGTCACATACGTGCAATTCCTGATGGAAATACTGACATTAACACATGCTCAAATTAAATTTGGATCCCTAACAAGGAGGCAAAAGCTCTTTTTCTCACTGTTTTCCATACCAGAACCGAGGTTAAAAAGAAGGATTTCAGTGTCCCCCACTCTCCTCTTGTTCCTCCAGTAGACAGCCTACTGTCTAGCCAATGTATTTATTGCCGTTATTTATTATTTATTCTGAAGGAAGGACAGAGAACCTCAGCTATGGTCCAGGACCAACAAAAGGTAAAAACATCATCGCTGATCTGAGGAGTTTATAATCTAAGGACACACACTCCTCTCTCAGGCCATGCTATTTTAATCTTTTTCTCATGTCATTCATTATTATTACCATTTCTAAATACATAAACTTCTGGAAGAATAGGGAAAACCCACCATGATTTGATGGGAAGGAAGCGCTACTGAAGTGACAGTCTGGGACCTCAGTGCAAATTCTCCTTTACAGACCACGCGTTGGGTCCTACATTGTGTTTTAAAAATCTTAGTATTCAAAAGTTTATTTTTATACTGGAGATGGCTGTTAGCTTGGTTTTAATCTCTCTGAAAATCATGATGGCTAATTTGATTATGATCATATTTCCTTTATTTCTCAGAACATGGATTTCTTCCAGTTAAGGACAATAATCTCTGGGATGTTAAATAAATAACTTTTAAAAGCTCTTTGAATGATACAGAAGTGCTTTATTTACTGACATCTTCCCCCGCCCAAATCCCCAAATTCTAGAGACCTGAAGTTTTATCTTTATGCTAATGGATTTGAATAATTCCTAATTAAGCTTGGTTTCGGATGTGCTCATCCTAGCACAGATTTCCCCCCAGTGAAAGTCGGGAGTCACGCCACCGACCTCAGGGCAGTTCCGCTGTAGGTGTGAGGGGACTCTTTGAGACCTCTTGCATTTATAACCTTGGTAAGAACTGATACAATCAGTGTCTGAGAAGGCAAAAAGGTTTAGAAAAGAGGGTCTATGATCATATCTATGATCATAACCAAGGGGTTGGTGGTGCTTAGCCTAGAAGAAGAGAGACCGAGGAGGCCTTCAAACAGAAAGAAGGCTGCTTTAAGGAGGAGATCAGTTACTCTTTATATGTACTAAGGGTGGAAGAAGGGGTAACTGGCTTAAGTCACAACAAAGGAGATTGAAATTAGATATTAGGAAAAAAAAATCTGATTATAGGGTAATTAAAGCCTCAATCCAACCAACCTCCTAAGACTACAGAACTGCTGTCATGAGAAACTTTAATAGTTTTATCAAGGATGGTCTTCTAGAACAGCCCAGGCTGAAAGAGACCTCGAAGGATCATCTGGTCCAACCTGTGGTGGGAAAGGGAGCCTGGATGAGATTATCGAGCACCCCATCCCGTCCCATCTTGAAAACCCTCAGCGATGTGGACTCCACCGCGTCCCTGGGGAGGTTGTTCCAGTGAATGATGGTTCCGACTGTAAAAAATTTCTTTCTCATATTGAGAAGAAACCCCTTCTGGTGCATCTTGTACCCATTGTCCCTTGTCTTCTCCACATGGCTCCTTGTGAAGAGAGATCCACCATCCTCTTTGTGGACGCCCTTTAAGTACAGGGAACTGCTGAGGTCCCCCCGGGGAGAAGAGACCCAACTCCTTCAATCTTTCCTCGCAGGGCAGGTTCTCCAGACCTCTGATCACCTCCCTGGCCCTCCTTTGGACCCTTCAGTCCCTTCCCAAATTGCCTTGTCCCTAAAATGCGACCAAACTGCGGCCACCCCTGGCTACCTCTAGCCACGCAGCATCACGGACGTGACTGCTGCCCGTGTCTCCTGTCATCTAACTCGACGCGGGTCTGTCAAGGGGCTCCTCGGTGCCGGGGCCTCCTTCCCCTCTCCTCAAAGGAGACACGTTTGAAGGTCGTGCTAGGCTTTCATGTGGGTCTAACACAAGTTTGCTTGGAGACATCAAGCCATGTTATTTATATTTTGGTCTTTATATGGTCTGACATCAAATACTAGCGAAACTGGTGGGTATTTTGGGGAAAACTGCGCGGGGCTGGCGGGGCTGGCCCCCCGGAGGGGTTTGGCTGCGGGGCAGGCCCCCCGCGAGGGGGCGTGGCGGCGGGGGGCCGCCCCCTGCCGCCATGTCAGGCCCGCGTTCCCGTGGCAACGGGAGACCGCCCCCTCCGGGGCCCGGCCGCCTGACCATAGAGCACGGCCTACCAGCTGGGAAGAGAGGACGCTCCTTCCGCCGCCTCCCTGCGGGCGACTCTGTGGTTTCTCTTCCGGGTTGCGCATTACGGCGGCCGCGGGGGGGCAGGCGGCGGCATGGCGGGGCGCCCGGAAAGG